TAGATGAGCTGCATTCAACGTTTCTTGGAGTGCCAGTGAGCCCGTTGGTTGCGTTACTGTATTCCAAATTTTGGCGTCATCTGCGAACAGTAATGATTTTGGCCCCAGAGCCTTCGGTAGATTATTTATGAACGTTAGGAAAAGTCGCGGGCCAAGCACAGATCCTTGTGGAACCCCACGCGTAACGTCCATAGGACTGGAAAGCGAATCAGAAACAAGAACCGATACCGTCCGACGTCGAGAAATGCTTCGATCCAGCCAAGCGCGAGACCCCGAATACCGTGGTTATAGAGTTTCCTCAGTAGAATGTCGTATCCCGTGGTTGATTTTAGCTATATTCTGTTTGTCTTTCGAAGTCATGATAAGTGTCAATTGAATAAGACACTATGTACTTTTAACCAATCTTGGTAACTCCAGATTACTACCGTGGGATGAGATTACGTATGAAATACATCTCGTTTTTTGGTCGAAGTCAAATAGGTTGCATTCCAAAATTCCTAACTGCATTCTCTTGGTAGGAAAGATAAATGGCCCCTTTTTAGGTGCTGACATAAAAGTACAGCAACCAGACTGACATCAGGTGACAGATAGCTGAGATCATTTCGACTAATTCTTAGACATCTCGATTGTGGCGTGACCATGAATGGAAAGCCAAAAAGTGATGTAATTCTCGTGATGTGCGGGACGTCATTGTACTTGAAGATAATGCGTGTGTGCTCGGAGAACACACCAACATCAACGTCATTGTACTTGTTTGTCGTTCCTGATGAGCGAATTTCGTTTCCTTTGTGTTACTTTAGTTGACTTGTTCAACACTATTTACGGCGATCTTAAGAGCGTAACCTCAGACGCATTGTTTTTTATCAATTTATGAATTTCAGTCGTAGTACTCTCCGACTGATCGGTTTTGCATGTCAATATCATCATGAGTTAACGATTGTCCAGATTTATTCATTCCACGGTTGTTTCACTGAATTTCTCCTTGGTTCCAACTTTGCAAAACTAGATTTTTTCCCATTCAAACAATTGTAATTATCACCATGTAGACGCACCCAAAGCGTTTCGAGTCATTGCGAGGCCTCGAATTGCGATTCTTCTTAGAAGCGATAGTTATTCATTGTTTGAAACCGCATTTACGTATTAAAAACCATTTGTCACGCAACTGTTGTGTCCGTGGTAGTGATGATTTCACACTTGATACCGCCTTATCATAACATGACCTTCCCTCCCCCTCTCTTCACCGCATTCACCACATCGTTCGAACCAGTTCACCTCCATATCAAATTTTGTCATCTAACTTCACCTCAACTCCTAACCAAACACAAATCACTCAATTCACTTGTCCACCACTTTGTTCAAATGACTCATTTCAACTCTTATGTTTCTTCGTCTCATATGATCATATAAATGTGCGTTTACAGATGAAAGAGAGCACGCGAAATTAATGGTGAATATCAATTCTGCCCACATATGTCTTTTTGTGTTGATGAAATGGATAAAAGGAAAAGGATGTTTTACAGATTGTAATCAATATTGGATAAATTGGAAGTCTGATTTTCGATGACCAGTTAATAATATCTGAAACGGTCATGTTATGTCCTTGATCACTATCGCTCTGTGATAGTGAAGTCAACTTTGGCATCATTGCATGTTACCAGATTCTTGTGGAAGGCAAAAATATTCGGGATCTGGATTTGAAAGCTTTTCGCTCTCAGATGGGCTGTGTACAACAAGAGCCCATACTTTTTGAGTGTTCGGTTGAAGAAAACATACGACTCGGGAAACTTGACGCGACGGAGGATGAAATCATCGACGCTGCTAAAATGGCCAATGCGCATGATTTTATTCTACAACTGCCAGAAGTAAGTAAAACCTATCAAACTGATTTTACTCCAACCAAGCAGTTGTGTCCTAAACCAAATATACATTACATCATTTTACTTATTTTGGAATCACGGTAAAATATATCTTCACTGCAATACTTTGTTTAAGGGTTACAAGACACTGTTGGCCGAACGCGGTGGGGGATTGTCTGGTGGACAGAAACAACGCATTGCTATCGCACGAGCCCTGATCCGAAAACCAAAGTTATTACTGTTAGATGAAGCCACTTCCGCTTTGGACACACATTCCGAACGCGTGGTTCAAGATGCACTGGATGCAGCATCCAGCGGTCGTACAGTGGTGGTTGTGGCTCATCGTTTGACCACCGTTCGCAATGCTGATCGGATTTTAGTATTGGAGAAGGGATTGATACGTGAACAGGGCACACATGATGAACTAGTGGAAAAAGATGGTCTGTATGCGGCAATGTTACGCAATCAAGTAAGTCTCTCATATGCAGCGATGAGCAGGTTGCCGAGTAACGCATCCAGATATCAAAGGATAATTCCTCTTTGTGTGAATGTGAATTCGTGGTAGCGTATAATAAATGAAAAATGTCCTGATACAATCATAGGTTATTTTTATTCAGTATGGTTTATGTGCTTATATAATTACTTATCCAAACCGTTGATGAGGTTGAAATTTCAAAAAAGTATATGAAACCGTGGTGTGAGTTTAACTTAAAAAAACTTTGAAATTTTCTCCTTAAACAAGACGAAAGTCAAGGGGTTTACAGAAGCAGTGGTACGTATAAACCAGTTTTGTTGCTATAGGATTGGTGAGTCTATTTAACTATTTGACTCATAAAGCTGAAACAAGCCTGTTTACACTGGGTCCAATAGTTAAGGCTGTCAACCAACGCAGTATCCACATCTGGATCGCCTTATTTTGGGTGTTATTTTCCTGGTAATTATCTTAGTCCCGACCGTGCGTGTGTAGATCAGAACCCACTTCATTTCGAGCAGATCATTTTGCATTTATCGATCATTCTCGTCGTCGCTGTCGGACAATGCCTATCCTTAATGATCCTTTTCATATAAGCGCCATCTCCCAGCCCGAAACAGGTCAGTGTTTTAACAAAAACAGATACAAACCAGGTCACTGAATTTGCAAGTGGGTAAAAAGGCTGTTCGTGAGCGTTATGGTACCCTTTCTCCTG